AGAGTGTCAATTCATTCTCTTCGTTGAAAACAAGTTTCTATTACAGTTTGAATTGCATTTTTGAAAGTGCCTCATGGTTGATGACTGTGCTGTACTACACTGGAATAACTCAGGGAGTGCTTGCTGAGTCAGTGTTTTATTAGGAGAACCTCTCAGTTACGAGACAAGCTGAACTGCACGGAGAGAAGACCTCCATTTTCAAATAGCCTTGTTCAATGTCTTAATAAAGCAATATTTTAGATTGTTAATTACATAGAGATTAGAAATTGGGCACGACAATGCATATTAGCCGTGGCAAACACCATAATTTATCACATTATATAGAAAGAGATTGCATTTAATAATTCTAATTAATCTAAATAAAATTCTGCTAATATACTCCACGGGTTTGCTGTTTGCCAAAGATATTTCTGTGTTCCTGCACATAACCTTAGCCATATACGTGGGTATAAATGGCAATTTCAGAGTAGTTCCTCAGATAAGATGCCCCCCTGACTCCAGTCTGACTGTTTTCACAAATTAGAAATTACTTCTATAAATAACCATCAGTCTCCTACACACTTAGGGCTCATTTGAAGGAAAATAAGCCTACAAGTCTTGATGAGCTGTCAACATAATCAAACTCAGGAAGTCAGAAAAACTTGTTTATTGTGCTCTTTCTAGAAAGGTTCTACAAGAAAACTATAGCGACAAGTGTTAGATTTCTTATCACTCTCCTAAGGAAAGCAGTCTTGTTTCCTTTTGTTCAAAAAACCCATTCCAGAATGCCATTAGGCACAAACACATGCCAAATAGGAGCAGTTCTCAAATACACTGGAAATAAGACAAGAAAATCTTTTGTGCCTTTACTGCAGCAACAACAGAGAGGGATATTTATTATATTAGACTGGTTAGAACTCCAACATGATCCTATACCTTCTTCTTTTGCTCTAATTACAAGAGCTCCAAATTGGGGGTAGTGGCATGTGAGGGTCTATGTTATGAAGCCAATTGGAGTAAACTGTCTTTGGAATATGGTTGGAGTGCAATTTACAGATTCAACAGGTTCACTCCACACTGAAGGTCTTATGAAGAGACAAGTATTCAGTGTTGGGAATTTTAGTGCTAAAATTCTATTTCAAACTAGATAATCTGCTTACCAACTATTTCTAAGTAAACTGGTCATAGCTGAAGCTACTGAATCTGTGAAACTTTAGACTTAGAAGCTTCACTTGAAGTTTAGCTGGCTTGGTTAGATTGAGGCCATAAATACCAGCAGTTCTGGCACTATCAGCTCAGCATCTGTAGGCAACATGAGAACCAAGCACATTATAACTAAGGTCTTAATTGATGAACAGTCTACAACATTCCCCTGACCTGAAACAGAAGGAAACCTCTGGAGAAGTCTTCAAGAAGTTTTTCAATTCAATGAACAGTTCCTTTCAGAAAGGGACATGAAAAACACAACTTACACTATGAGCTCCTTGAATTGTGCGGACCAGGTTCAGCCCTTTCCAAACATAGATGTCTCCATTTAAAGCACCTGAGTATGTGATATCTTCTTTTGCACATGCTAAACAGAGGATCGTTTGGACATCTCCTGTTTTACCAAATATTCCTCTCTTGGCTGTCAGGGCATTTCCACACAGTGTCCAAAACTGTGAAATGTAAGTGGCATATTAGGAAAAATTTCTGCAAGATTTATGTTTTTTCACATCAGCGTGCAGCCTCAGATGTATGACCTTACAGAACAGTGTCTGGGCAGACACGCAAGTGATCCCTTTAGTCCTATCAGAGCACCCATTATTCCCAAACCTGCCCATTTGCCAAGGAAAGATCTGGGCAAATGCAGTAAGTCTAAAACCAAAACAAATAATCCAACAGTTTGAGGAGGTGAGGCACAACGCTGCACCACTACTGCCACATTCTCCTTCTCCCACTATTCTTGGTCAGGGTTTGCTGAGAAAAGCTGTCAATACCAGTGCATATTTTTAAGGCCAGGAACATTTTTCTTGTCTGCACAGCTTAAAACACAGCTACAGTTCTGAATTGATTAAATACTTGGTCTTAAACAACCTGAGTGCTGGAGCAGACACTTCTGCCCTTTTCCAGTGCACTGAAAGAGATCTGTCCCTCAAATATAGTTACATTTACTAAGAAACCATCTGTTCAATGCAGACTGTGAACAGGGTGAAACACTCTGACTCTGAGAGTAACAGGTTCCCCAAGTGTGGAATGGGGACTTGCTCCACTTCTACACACAAGAAGTCAGTAACATTCTGCAAAAAACAATCTAAGACTGACTGAGGAAGAGAAAAAGACTGAAAAGAACAGAATAGTGCAACATCTGACATAGATGCACCATGTCACACTCCTACTTTATATGCCTACACCTGTTCATGGTGGTAAGTAAAATATTTAGCTCTTTCTCTTCATACTTATAAAATGTCCTATAAAATTCCTATAAAGCTGAATTCCAGCTTGGATCAAGGAGTTTTATTTTAGATCCTTCTCCATTTCTAATTCAATTAAAGTTTCCCTTTGCCTCTTCACATCAGCCAATTTAGAAGGCAGAGGGAATACTGCCCCCAGGGCTTTCATTCTGTGAGTAAAACCAAAAGTCCCTTGACTGGTTAGCTGTGGAAAGGTGGGAGAGCAGGCAGCAGTGTTAGGAGATGGGAGGAGAGAGGATCCTCAGCTCAGTGTGAGATTCCCCAGCCCCTAGGCTTTACCACAACTTCTAATACCTTCTCAGCCAAACAAAGAACACTGAAATGCTAAGGGAATAAATGACCCCCTTCCCAAGCATTAATCCCAATTCTCACAGTGATACTATTACTTTAGAGCTGTTATTAACACATTCCCACAGCCTTGTACTGAACAGCAAGTTCAGGTCTCTGTTGGAGTGGCACTGCATGGGAACACAGAGTCACTTCCCCTCCATGCTGCTTGTTTTCCATTTTTTGGCATGCCTTTATCTCCATGTATTTACAGTGATGGTATTCTGCATGTTCAGGGTAATTATGGCCATTTTAAACAGCAGACAGGTGCCAAACAAAGACAGGCTTTGGAAAACAGCTTGCAGAATACAACAGATGGTATCACTGCTGCCAAAACCACCCACAGTTTGAAAGCAGTGGTGATTTTAAGGGCACAAGCCTCTCAGGAACCAGAACTAGAGATATTAACTGGTTTCCTAAACTTCTAGTTAAAGCTCTTCCCACCCCAGTCATGTGAAATAATCGCCATCTGTTGGGAATGTTTTTGATGAGACGGGAGAAAAACAGAAACCTGAAGGGAATATGGGTAAACAGAAGGATTTATTTCTAAGCTTTCCACAGGCATGAGAATGTTTTATCTTAAACACATAAGTTTATATTTCAAACACTTCCAGAAAGGTGACTTGGAGAGAGCACACAGTGGGGCACAAGAGTTGTCATCTCTGCAGGTCCTGCACACTTCTCAGTGGTGCTCCTGCCAATGCTGGGAGCACAAGGGGTCAAAGGGCAGGTCACTCAATTCACACTTTTGAACTTAGTTCCTGCTACAGCTGTTCAGGGACTGTTTGGAATGCTTGATGAGAGAAATCCCTCAAGGCTGACACAATTTAGGTGGAATGGACACCTAATAGTACCCACATCAAATGGGCAGAGAAACTCAAAATTATAAGTATTTAATGATGAAAATTACACCAAAGGAACTTCCCACCTTGCTTATTCAGGGTACCTGCACCTCAGTCACTGCTGAATGTCTGAATTGGCTTTGAATAAAAGGTTTTGCTAAAATGTTCACAGAGTAAAGAAAGAAGAATATAAACTGTCATATATTTAAAGCCCTCATCATGTAAGAGCACAATGTTTTTGTGTGACAATTACTTACTTTTCCAAGTAAACAATAAAAGCTCTTTACCTTTATGTGTTTTACTCCACAGCTGACGATTCTGTTTGGTTGATATTGATCCCAAGAAATATCAAATATCTGTTAAGAAATACATTAAGCTAATATTTTTACTTAGACAGTAGGTCTAGGTCTAGATGTCTAGGTTGTTTCCTTTTACCAATGTTTAGCCATCATTGCTGTTGCAACACATTACTAAAAACAAAGGAACACCCTTTAGGAACGTTTGAAACTCTCTGTAATCAAAGGTTATACAAAGATGCTAGTTTTCTCACACAGTTCTGTTAACACATCTCATCACTGACTCCACACTAACAATCCATTCCATTCTTTATTCAAGTTATGATCCTTTACCTGAAGTTAATAGATATAAAAGGAGTATCTAGCCTAATTATGGTTCTTCTACAGGTGACAGTCTTAAGCAAAACTCAAAGGGATATAATTAAACTTGCCCTAAGGACAAAGTGTCTTTCTGACATACTCAGAGACAACATGATCTTTGGCCATTGAGTTCACACTTCACATCTTTTATGAAGAGCTACAGTTCACTACTCGGTGTGTAGGTACAAAGTATTTTCTCCCTAGGCTTCCGAACACAGTGCTTAGTGCGGGGTCTGGCGTAACGAGAAGAAATAAATCCAGGTAGAATGATCAAAGTTATCTTTGCATTAACCTAATATAAACAAAAATTATTTTTAAAACATGTGTGCAACTCCCAGACAAAATCCAGGAGACCTTTCATACAATTACCCTGTCTGAATGGCCTGTAGCTGTTGCCAGGAGTTTTCCTCTCTTCCAGTCCCATATACACACTGTGTTTTTGGCATCCAGTCCCACTGAAGCTAAACGCTGAGGAAAAACAATAGGAAACCAGTTAATAGAAAACCAACTCAAAAATCACTTTGCTGTAGTTCACAGGATTGTGTGAAATGTATTTTCCTATGTCTGACTTGTATTTGAACTCCATTGCAAAGGCAGAGATATTCACACTCAATATTTACTCACTGGAGAGAGCACAGCAATGTCTCACCTTTCCTAAAAGGTCAGGTTATTGATTTCATGTTACCAGTGTTTCAAGGGAAATTCTTTCCATGAAATGTCTGAGCTGCTTGCTTCAGGTGCACACCATTCTAGCACTCTGATTTATTCATCCGGTGATAAAGTGAAAGGGAAAATAAAAGGTCTCACTATTTCCAACTACCATTTTGTTCATTATGCTCATTTTTCTGAGCTTTAGAATCAGAATTGGATGTACTTTTCATAATTGCCTATTATATGGCTTAGTGTTTCAAATTGCCAATTAAAATAACTGAAATCATTAACTAATAACCAAACTAACTAAAGCTTTTATTGATCACCAATTAAAATAATGTCATTGTAATATTTTACATCTCAATAATGCAAGGAATAAAAATAGCAGAATAAAATGGAAGGGAAAAGGCAGACTGCACACATCTAAGACATACACAGAAGATCAACCATTACTGTGGAGGTTGTAGATCTTTTCCCTTCCAGTAACAGTGTTAATTAAGCCCAACTTTACATGATATTCATCAGAAATTGACTCAAATTTTCAATAGGCAAATTGTATAAAGTCTGGAGGTGTCTGCAATAATACAAAAGGACTGAGCCAGCATAGACAAACAAGTGTAATTACCAGAGATTCCTGGAAAAATACTACTTGCAATGAGGCTATCAAGTCCTGTACAACAGACAGAGGAAATATCTGTTCATGAGGAAACAGAAGGCTCCAGTTTTCATTCTGTAGCAAAATAATTGATCAGGTACTCCTTGCCTTTTCATCCCATTTCTGAGCATAAAACCACGGTGTACATCTTCCCTCTTGAGAGCACCACAATCAGAAACCTCTGGATTAACTGCAGTAGGTACACACATACCCTTTCCTGTCTTAATAGTTACAGTTCCTTTATTTGGAGCAAGGAAACAAAGCTTTTGAGACTTTGGTTTGATGGGAGTTAACGACACATGTTATCCTAATGCAATACTGAACTCTGCCTAGTGAATAATGCAGAACTCAACCACTATCACACCAGAAAATGCACAAAGAGATATTGTATTAACAAAAAACCACCCCAATACATCCCCCAACCATACCTGAAAAACTATTTACAGGCTTATATCACAAGTTCCTCTGAGTTCCATCTCCTCTTATACTGCCTTTCACTGAAATAAAAATACCTGAAGGCTGGTTGAGCCAAACTTCGTAAGAACCTGCTGCATGAAGTTTCAGTTGCCCTTGAGCAATCTGCACCTCCCCAGGGGTCTGGCTGCACTGATCAAAACACAAGCTATTTTTTGTGGAACCTTCACTGATTCAAACTTCTTCTCACCTCTTTTATACTTCTCTTCACCATGGAAACCATGGCAGTACTTACAGTATCTTTTAGATTCGTGATGTGAACAACCTCAAACTTGAACTGTAACTACCAGGCAGGAAATCACCACTGGGGGTAGATGGGCAGTGAAAGCACCAGGGGAAACTAACAAGTATTTTAGATTTTCTTTTAACACAGGTCTGCTGAGGAAGGTCTCCTACCGGCAGAAAGTAAAGTGATAAATGCAGAATTCCCTTTTCAGTTGAAACACACTTTTAGTCCTCCTTCTGGAAGAGAATTTGACAGAATTCTATTCAGAGAATTCATAGAACTACCAGAAGAAAATATCTGCCAAGCAGTTTATGCACATAATTAAACCATTATTTTTAAACCTACACAGATTTAGAAGATCTGGCTGAAGAAGCCTAATGCAAATTTTAGAAATGTATGTATGTATTGTGGCAGTGTCCTCCCAGTCCATTAAAAATAAATTTCTTCTAGAAAGCACACAAAATGGGTTCAGCTGAAATAACTCAGAACAGAAATTGAACTGTGCAGTATTGATAAAATGCTTCCATGTAAGACATCCATGTTGTAGGTAATTCTGTGAACGGGAGATGGTAGTACTTTTAAGCAGAAACTGTAGTTAATTCCCCATTTAACAACAGACATTTTCCTTATAGACAAACTGACAGCTCCTCATTAAACATCTGAGCAAGGTGCAGTTTCCCTCCTGCCAAAAGGCATCTCCTGCTCAGACACAAAAAGCCCAAACTAAAATACATATTTTTCATAGCAACAGTTCTGCAAGATACTCAGCTCCCATCAATACTTTCAAAATACATCATTAATCACAGATAACACACAAAATAGGAAATTTACTCCAACTGTGTTTGTCTCCAAATTTAAAGCTGCATTGAAGGCACATAAAATAAAGGAAGCATGTATGCCATCCCCGGATTTTAAGCTGCATATTGATCTTCTCCATATATTAAAACTCAGATAATAAATCCTGTTCACCCAAATCTCTGTTCCCCACTCTGTGGAACATGCTGCCAGGGAAGTGCTGCAGAAACAGCTATGCTGTCTATACCTTACCTGATTGTTGAATTAATTTGTGTTTTGGGGCTGAAACACAAATCTTTCTTGGCTATTAATAGCCACTGGATATAAAAGAAGGAAATATTTGCATTGAAGGGAAGGTGCAAGCAATGTATGTGCAGTCTGTTTTGCCCTGTCACAGCTCCCCTGGGTGTGCTGACTAAACAAACCAGAACTGCTAGCAGCCCTGAATTCCAAATACTCATCTGCCATGCCCTTTAATTCTGGCTCAGCACAGCAGCTTCTTCTGCAAATCCAGAAAGAGCAGCCAAAAGCCAAGATCCATTATCCATATTTATGTTTTCCAGCACTGGTCTTCTCCAGACAGAAAAGTGTTCAATGTGAATTTTTATTTCCAGAATAAACTGCAACTTCTCCAGCACTCCTAGAAACAGAACTGTCACTGCTCTGCAAGGAGTTTGGGTTTTAATTACAGCAAGGCACCCAGCAACATCTCTGGAAAGGCCTCCACCTCTAACCCACACCCACTGGACTCTTTATTCCCGTTGGGTGCTTAAATAGGTTTTAAAAAAATAGGTTGCTCCACTGGCCTTATGAAGTTAAAAATGAGGGGGGAAAAAAAAATAAAATCAAGAACATGTATTACTGAATGAATAATGTCTTAAAAATATTCTACCATTAGAAATTTCCTCGTCTGAGTTTTTTATTCCACAATTCCCAGGAACAGGTTTTTCTTTAATTAGAATTTGCACAGGAGATTTTAGAGGAAATAGCTTTACTTTAAGAACACTGGAGGAACACAGTTGAAAACTAGGCTTAAAATAGAAAGGTAGTTCCAATTTTTAGTCGGGAAATATAATCCACAGTGGTGCTTAGCAATTCAAGTTAACCAATGCTTTTTCACCACGTTAAAGGCACCTGCTCATGCTGATGTCCCTCATTTTAGCCTAATCTTTAAACTGACTCCACACAAGCTAATGCACATTAAAAAGTACTTTTGTTTCATGTGAAAACACATTTGAGGCACTGCATGGCCAATTCTGAACTCAGACTAATACAGCACTGTGTGATCAGTGGAAGAGAAGCTGACACAGGGCATGATTTTAGGAAAACCATCCAAAGGCCAGAACATCCCATCCTTCTGCCCTATTGGGATGCAACTCTGAGGTACACAAGTAAATACAAACCCAGCAGGGATCCATAGAAGAATCCAAGTACCAGCTAATCTAAGCATTCCTAAGAACACTTGGTAGCTGGTTGCTAAAAGTATTACACCAGAAAACTTACCTGGTTATCAGTAATGACAAAACCGCTCAGATAGATATTTATAAAGCTCTGTGAAGCATTTCTCAGGTATATGTGAATATTAGATCTATTTTCCTCCTGCTTCATTCACAACTGAAGGCTTTTAATAGTTCTTCAGGGGATAAAAATAAAATTCAGTATGTTTAGCTGTGAATAGAACTTCTATTTTAAATTTTGACTCAAAATATCATATAAACTAATCACATTATACTAAGCCACACTCTATGTCCTAACCCCATTATTCAATTAAATTGCCTGTGCACCCCAGCCAAGGAGACTCTCCTAGCAGTGAGATTAGTAGAGTCTCCTTGCCAAAAAAGCTGCAGGATTGTGAGGGCTGTGCCAGGAACTGATTTCTTTGAACAGCAGGTGACAAGTATGTGGTGAGGCCATTATGTTTAAGCCACAGAGGAGCATTTCTGCTGTGGATATTTACCCAACATCCAATGGCTCTGTTCGACTTGCATGCTAGGTTGTGATTTTCAACTCAAAAGCATCTTTTTGCAAGAGCTGTATTTGTAGTCCTCAGACTGTAATCCCAATTACAATCCAAGTCAAGTCCTTGAAGTGTAATTACAATTCAGTTGTAACAGGAGTTCAGCACCACAGCCATATAGCTACCTAAACATAAAATATTTAACGCGCATATCTTCTGGAACAAGAAGTCAAACTAAACTCAAAGCACAGAGGAAGCAGATGTACAAACCTGTCCATCTGAATCAAAGGCCAGGCAGGCAACCCCGTGGGTATGAGCATCCTTGAGGACAGACACTGTCTGCACACGGTAGGAGTCCCAGATGCAAATGTAGGGATCCTTCCCAACCTGCCCTGTAGCCACTAAAGTTTTATCTGGGTGAACTGCAAGGCTGAAACAGAACACAGTTCAAGTTATAGTACACTGAGTCAGAAAAACAGCACAAAATGTAAAAATTAAATTAAAAATAAATTTTTTTGTTCTCAAAAACTTTATCTCCTTTTGATTTACTAGAATGATCATAACTCTCTTCAGAACTCAGTCTGTTCCATTATTTACTTAAAATAGTGTGGTTTGCTGAGACCAACATGCTGAGTGCAGAATATAAATTATCATGTAAAATGTTTTAACTAGAAAATCACGGAAAGACATAACCAGAGTGTTTTTAAATACTTTTGATTGATAAGCTTATTGAACACATACTTGTATCTTAGTCTTCCATAGCTTTCTAAAGTCAGTGGATGATTTCTCTACACTTTATTCTTCTTTTACACATCAGCTCAAATATTCTGAAATATCGACCAGAGGCTGAATAATGGATATTTTTCACTATGAGAAATACACACATGAAACCTTCTCATCTTCACATTAAAGTCAGCAGTCTCAGAAGAGACACAGAAATAAATTGTTTCTTCTATATCTGAGGAACATCTGTAACATCTGTACTTTTAGCTAATGCTGCCTAAGGAGAGAGAAAATTTGCTGTCCCTTTATCAGCTTAGTGCCTTTTTTCTAACAGCCAATTACAAACAGTACTTTGCACAAGAATAGTGGCATCAAGCCCTATTTCTATTGATCCAAGAAAGGTGCCAGTGTTTCAAAAGCTGTTTCCTGCTTTTTGGTGATGAACTCACTGGCATTCAGAACACCAACTCTTCCTTATACACTTATTAAGCATATTAAACACAACTTTTTTGTTCTCTGTAGTGTTTGTACAGAGATCCATTACTGTCAGCTGCATCCTAGTGTAGGCACTAGCAGCAGAATCAAACCCTGTTTCTGTTCACAACCCTTCAGATATGAAAATAATAATAAAACCCTCCGTAAAGTCATATGAATACAATGACAGTTTTACACTGTTATCCAGGAAAAAAATTTGAACAATAGCTATGTGAGCTACAGATGGAATAAGGAAAACCATCCGATAAATAAACTGGCACTCAACAGATGGCTTAGGGGAGCTGAATAGTTCTGCTACCCCAGGAGTAGATGGTACTAATTATTAATAGGAATTAATCAAAAAACTGCAGGAAATTTCACAAACATATGTGTTCAATTTTTTCATGTTAAAGAGAAATACATGAAAAAAGAACAAATTTAGCACAATTTAACTGTTCCATCTGCTCCTGCCCCTGTTCATTGCTCCTTTGCTCCACAGGATTGAGTTGTACACCATACTGCACGTCAGCTAGCTCACCTCAGTTCTAAGCCTGTAAGAGGAATACAGGGTGACACCATGAACTTATGGTGTGATACCTGTAATTAAGTTAGAATACTTTTCTTCAGTAATAAGAACCAGAAGGAAAAGATTAATTGGGCTAATCTCTCTCCCTGCTAGAACAGAGCTTAATTACATCTGCCACCACTCAGCACAGAGCAGTTCTCACACGCTAGAACTCAAGAACATGATCACATTCTCCACAACACAAATATGTCTGTCCTGAACATCTCTGTTATTTGTTTTCTCCTTTCTGACGCATGAAGCCAACCAGTGGGGGAACTAAAATTAGGAAGCAATATCAATTTTTGGCACCTCAATTAACAGTCTGATTCCTCAGCCCTGCTGAGGACACCCATCTCCCGCTCCCAGCCGTACAATGCACTGCCACTGCCCACGTTCAGTCTGGCTGTTAGATAACCCAGTGCTTATTTCTGGTACGCAGAACAGTGGCTTACAGAGGAAGGAAACAGAGCCCAGTTTCAAGTACGAATCTGTTCGGTACCTGTATATGCGTGTTAAACTATAAAAATTTGAAGTATATCTATACAATATCTCTGTTGTTTGGGTAATTTGATGTATTCAGAGTCTAAAATCTGCTGGCACAGGTTCCATGAACTTCCCTGCCTTCTTAAATGAGGATCAACTTCTTTGTTTAGGTTTCAAACAGTTAAGGGGCGTTTATTCCACTTTTCTAAGCAAATATCCTTAACTAGACCATTTGTAATGATGTCATATTGCTATTTGCACCACTGAAAAATACTGAAATACTATTATATTTATATGAAAATATGATTAGAAGAGATGAGGCATTCAAACAACACCAATTTATGGTATAGAAAATATATTTTTAGGGGATTAATTCTTACCCCTTCTACAGGGAGAACAAGATCTAAGCATGGTAGGCAGAAGAAATTTCATAAGAACATTTTTCCCTGCTTTCCAGGTCTAAGGGAATGGGAAATGAACTCCCTCTTGCTGAAGAGCTGGGGTGGAAGCAGAAAGGATCAAAGCAGCAGCAGTTCCTGCTGCTGCTACGTACTGGCAGTGGAAGCCACTTTTCCATACACCTCAACCTTCTCTCTGTGGGAACAGCA